TTAGTTTCTTAGCCCCTGGCTTTCATTACTCTTCTCATCAGTCTGTGAATCTTAGGCTAAAGATTGCTCCTCGCCTGAATCCTAGAATTCTCCCTATTCCCCTGCTTTTTGATTGCTTTGTAAATCAGTTTCTGAATCCTAAACAATAGAAGTCTCCAACCCCTGCTTCAGATAACTACTTGAAAGCCTGTGACTTCCTAATATCCCCCCAGGCCAGTAAAGTAAATGCCAAACCCATTCTGGGCCCAGACAACTGACGCCACCTGAGTGACAGGCTGAATGGCAACAGGCTTCACCTGGTCTGAGGGCAGCGCAGAGATTCTGGCCTCTTTCTGGGCCCGGCTCTCCCTCCATGAAGTGGGTGGAGCGAGGCCCCGCCAAATCCCAGGCAACCTCCAGTGTCTCCATTCTCTGAGCTCTGGGTCAGGGTGTCTTGTCAGAATTTTCCTTCCACTTCTGAGTGTCAGTGGCAGTCTGTGGGTTAAGCGTGGATGTCAAAATATTGGCATTTCTAGGACAATTTTGACGATTTGTGGAGATAATGGAATGGGTTATTTGGAACTAGATATTTTTCCTAAAAAGTGAAGAATACATGGTCCTAATGTTGGGTCCAGATAATTAACAAAAGGCTGGATGTCAAATTAGGGTTCCAAAGATGTTATTAAGCTGAGCTCAGCGACTGCCTCTCCAACTAAGGAAAGACGGCCCCGAGATTTGGGGGGTAGGGTTTTTATAAGAAAGGGCTGTATGCAAAGTAAATTACAGAGGCCAAAAAGAATGTGTAGTTATTTTAGTTAAAACCGCATTCCGCTGTTGTAACAGTGTTGTTATGTCCAGATGTCTTAACAGTATATCATGACCCGGTTGAGTCGACCGCACAAACTGTTTCTTAGAAATATTAATCAATTTTAGAAACTAAGGGGTTGAAACATCAAGGTTAACTGCTTGCAAGGCTTTCTAAAAAGCGGAGGGCTGGGGGGTGGGGGTAAGGGGAAACTGAGGAATGTTTTTCTTTATTTTATTTTATTTTATTGGGAAATTGGGGGGATGGGAACAGTGCTGGGGATTTGGGGGAAGGGGAACAGACAAGTTGCTGTCGTTTTGTTCTTCAGCCTAGTTGTGGAGGACGTTGCTTCACTGGCCCAAGTTGGCACCATCATTGCGCTCTTCCCCGGGGAGGCAGATCAGTCGCCAGTTTCTGGACGGCCGCTCACGGCGGCTGCTGGCCACTCACGCTGGCTGCTGGCTACACACGGTAGCCCATGGCAACCCACTGCCACAGGGGCTGCAGCCTACGCCATCGCCAGCGACTCACGGCAGCCCAGCTCCAGGTTGAGCTGTTGTTCAGCATCTTAGCTGTGGAGGGCAGTGTCATTGGCCCTCATATGTGGGATCCGAACCAGGGCCCTCTGGCGTCCCAAGCCAGTTCTTAACCATCGCGCCACTTGGCTGGCCCAGGAATGTTTTTCTTCAACCTTTTATTCCCCAGCAGAAGCAAAGCAGGTGTACAGAAGCAAAAAGAGCTGTTAGTTCTTAGAGTCTAGCTGGAGTAAGCTGAAGTATGATTTTTTAATGTGAATCTGTCCGGCCTAGGGTCCGGGCCAGGGTCCCTTCAGGAGAGAGCTGGGGAGGGAGATTGGGGCCAGCCAGCGTCCCAGCCGTACCCTCCAGCCCCCAGCCTTACTCGGGGTGATCCATGGCATCCTGGCAGGGACACACAGCCAGGGGACCTGGAGGAGGAGAGAGGGCCCCTGGGGAGCACAACGACATGATGACAGGGAGTTGATTCAGATGGTGGGGAAGCTTATTCATTAGGGTAACGGGACTCATCTCAATCAGCAGACACAGCAGATCAGCACAGAAGAGGCCGAGATGTGAAGGCCTCCCACCTCAGGACGCCACACAGACACCCACTCCCCACACCCTCCCCAGGCCATGCTTATGTCGGTGCAGGGAAGTTCCAGGATAACTCGTGCCTGGCAGGGGTCAGGACTCAGCTGTCTAGGCTCCCAGCCCAGGGCTGTGTCCAGAAGCCTCAGCCACTCACGGGCCTGGGGCTGCAGGAGAAAAAAAGGGCCCTGCCGAGAGGAGGGAGCTGGGCCTGGGGCAGGCCCGGACCAGCTGCCCTGGGCTCCTCCACACAGGTCAGCTACCTGAAGCAGAAGGGACTGGGCGGGGCCATGGTCTGGGCCCTGGACATGGACGACTTCTCCGGCTCCTTCTGCAACCAGGGCCAATACCCCCTCATCAAGACCCTGCAGCTCGAGCCAGGTGAGTTGGGGGTCAGGGCCCAGAGGCGGAACTCATGGACAGTATCAAGCTCCCCTCTGAGCTGCAGGTCCCCCCACCGTCTGCTCCTTCTCAGGAAGTGACTTTGAGTCAACACTGTGACTTCGCAAATGTCACGCACCCATCGGAGCTGAGGAAACTGCTGAAACAACTCTCTTTTAACACTGTCCTTTCCCTTTGTGGTTGTAGTGTCACGTCCTGCGTGGCAAGAGCAATTGGAAGCGAGAGGGGCGACGCAGAGTGAAAGAGCACAAGAGACAGAGATAAGGCTAAAGCGGGACCAGGGGGCATCAGCCTTGGGGACTGAGCCCCGAATCGGGCCCTCATGTGGCTTTTACTGAGAAAATTTCAAGGAAGTGAAACTGAATTACTCAAAGATCCGTGTGCTACGTGCCTTAAGGCTGTTTTCCATTAACCAGCTCCCACTGTACTCCAACATGTACTGTGCCTCCACACAGCCTGCACAGCCCCCAGGACAGCACCATTGTGCTGTGTCCTATACAAATAAAGGGAGATGACCGATATCATTCCACCGGGTCTCAGCATTCCGAGACACTTCCTCAGGACCTCGTTAGGTCAGGGGTTAGTGGGGGGGGGGGCGGTCGTGGACGTAGCTGTAAGGCAACATCTCCCCCTTTCTGTTTTGTAGAAGGAGAAACACGGACTTTGCAGTTTCTTCATCTATGGCCCGCTGAAGGGCTTGTTGTCCACACCGGACGACTGGACAAAACAGAAATAGAATGATTAATAGGAGTGCAAAAGCACCAGCAAAACCTCCACCGAGGTTTTCCACCCATGTGAGTGGGTTCAGAGTAGACAATCCTTCCGCAGCCGCGGCAAGGGCGTCCTCTCCCGGGAGGAGCTAGAGATTAGCAGATGACGTCTGATCCACTTCTTGTTGCAACTGCAGAATATCTACAGTCAGGTTGGGCACATGTCCCAAAAGACGAGCTCGTACCTCAGACCACGGGGTACATGTGGTTGTAAGAAAAAGGAGTTACACAGTAAGTGGAGATATTCCCATCACACTTTGAAGTGATCATAGTCTGGAGACGTTTCCAATTGATCTCCAAGAGAAACATCAGTTGTTTCTAAATCAGCCAAACGGATGCTGATTTCTTGATCAATTCTCAATTGCTGACTTCAAGTTTTACTTGCATTTTCATGCCATTGTTGCACAAATTGAGTAGTCTGCACCGTCTGGTGAAGAGCCACTCCAGAGACAGCAGCAACAGTGGTTATAGCTATTATACCCATTATTGCTGCTATTAAAAGGCCAATAAACCTTTTGGTTCTATGTAAGATCTTATGAAGAATTTGTAAAACAATATGAACAGTTGGGGAAACTTCCCATACCCTCGAGGCTTGAACGGGAAGACATAGTCCACGTCTTCACCTAAGTATCATAATGTGGTCATGGGACATCCCAAAAATAGAGGAATTAAGATAAGTATATAAACAACATTGAGGGCATTCAACCAATTTTGCAGTTTGATTAATAGTAAATTTTCTTGTCAAGAAAGCAAAAGGATTTTTAAGACAAACTTGTAGATATATATTTTCTGTTTTTTCAAACCGGAAATTGAAATTATTATTGGTATTTTTAGTAAGATTTCCTTTCCATATTTTATTAGGTCCAATACTTAAAGCTGTTTTCCATAAAGTCCTTTGAAAAGGAGCCCGAATGGGTCTAATCATCCTTAATTGAGGTGGGGCTAGAGCCCTATCCTTCCAAAAAATAGAAATGTTAAATGGAGATTCAAAAATCTAGGGAAACCATATTCAGCTATCTGTTCCCTTAATCGCTGAGGTTCTAA